TTTTAAACTGTTGTTCAATGAACCATATAAAAAGGGGCAATTATTTTTTAGAAAACTGTATAAACTTACCTTTCATCATTGGCGACGAAGAAACACCTGTCTTAAAGTATATTCCCCCTCTTTAGCTTCACCTTTTGTTAGGTGTGGTTCAAAAACTATTTGATTGTCTTGAATTGGAGAATACCAATGTTGGAACAGAATGGATAAAAAAAAGCGGGATTGAAACTAGATCATTATGGAAAATGTAACGGAAATAACGCCAGACAACTTTTAAAGAAAGTGGATATTTTGAAGACGATATCGCCCGGTAAAGAATCCTATTCAAAATTTTTAGAAGCAAAAACCTAAACATATTTTTTTTAGGAATAAATATATTGCAGTGTTTTCTGCATTCAATCAAGTAGTTTCAAGTTGTTTTGGTCAAGCACTAAACAAACATTTTGAACATGACATCGAACAATTTAGATTGGAAATACTCAACTTAGGTATTAATATAACTCCAAAGATTCATGCAATTCTGCATCATGTGCCAGAGTTTATAAAAGCAAATCATAGAGCTCTAGGATTTTACTCGGAACAAGCATCTGCGAGCAGGTTCATTTTTCCTTTAAATTATTTTCTAAAAAGTTTAACTTGAATCCTCGTTCAGAATGCTACCAAAATAGTCTTTTACGATGTATTTGTTGTTAATAGTCCACGTATTTAAGATTTGTGTTGTACTTAGCTTTAGATAAATTTAGCGATAAAAGACCGGGGGTGCCCCCCCCCCCAGGCACTGCTTGGCACCCTCCAGAGAAATCCTGAATTATGAGTCTTGGCTACGTATTAATTTTTATTTGCTTGTGATGCAGTAAAAATGACGTTTTCTAGTTTTGTTTAGTTAATATTATTTTGTTGTGTTCAGAAAATGTGTTAATTTTTTTTTTTTTAGAAAATTTGTAGGTATTTAAGTAATCTACGGGAACACGGTATGATAACCAAGTCTATGAAATTTACTGATAGAGAAATTAATAGTTATGCTCATGATTGTCCTTATGGGCACTTTCCAATCTAAATTGTTTCATTTATCTATGACACTTATTCACCACAATTTACCAAAACAATATGTGTTAGTGTTTAAAAGTAAGGTGTTTTGGTGTATTGGGGTTAATTAGTGTTTTATTTTGCTGTTGTGAAACCCAAGGTTCCAACCCCCCAACTATAATGTATCCTCTTGTTGGACAGACTATATATTATTTTGCCGTCAATGTCGTTAAAAAGTCTATACAGGGTGTCAAAGAAATCGTGTATCTTTGGTGTGTGATTCTACAGATAAAATAAAACAAAATGTTCCTAAGAACATATATTAAACCAAACCAAACTACATTATATTCTGAAATAAAAATGTTTAAATATTTCTGAGAAATATTGGATGATATTTCCGGTTTTACACCCACTCGTTTGTTCCAGATTTTAACAGCTACTAGCGACCTTACTTTTATTTCTATAAAGATAAAACCCTATAGTTTCCGTTCGATAACACGAAATGTTCGCAAACTATCAGTGTGAACAACAATTTTATAACATATTAAAATATATCTAAAACAATAATTAATAAAATATTAACAAATTGACTAGATATCTACGTAGTGATTGTTATAGTCCCATTTTAAGAAACATAAACGCTTATTTATGAAATTGAAATGTCAGAAAAGAATAATTATTCAAGAATTAGTTTAATTATTACACATTTTTATAGATTAAAATCAATATTAAAATACACAATTTAAATATTATATAAAAGAAAAGCATATAATAATACATTCTAATTGTTTTATTCTAATTCCTTTTATTTATTCAATCCAATACGATTTTTTCTTAGAATCTAATATAATACTAATTAATTTATTAGTACAAAACAGTATCAATAGCTATTTAAAAAGTTGCGCTCATTTAAATTTTCTCTAAGCGCGCGGTTAAACTCTGACAGCGCCACTAAGTTTTTTTACGGATAACTGCTGAAGTAATATAACAAGAGTGTGCCAGCTTACGGAATAGAGCGTAAACCAAATTATATTTTTACAGATTTCTGTAATCACTGTGGAGTCTGCGACATCTCGAGGATAGTTGATAAATTTCAATCTATTAATTATAATATATAAAAGAAATCTATAGTGGTTAATTTAAAAGATAAGATGGCGTTAGTAAAAGCAATTTAAATTAAATTGTCATTTTAAATAGATATTCATATTTTTAGTAGTAGAATAAAACATTAATAATTGTATTAAAAAATAATGTAAATATTGTAAAGGAGCTTTTTTTTCAAAAATATGAATTGTATTTCAAATTCTAGATTATCTAAAACGCTAATTTATATTTGTATGTCACAAATAACAGAAATAATTTAATATTTTATTATGGACTAGAAAGTGAAGTCTTTCCATATCAAAGAAACGACAGAAAATGCAATTTATCTGTGAATAAAAATGACAGAAAAGATCTATCTGTGTAATAACTTTTTGTAACAAAGTAAAATCCTTTAACATAATATAGAAGTGTTTCAAAAAATTAATATGCTTGGAATTATAATGATTAAAATGGAAAATTATTCTAAATATTTTCCCAATCGAGTCCTAAATAAAAAGAAAACGCCGAGGATAAAAAACTAATAACTTTATTTCCATTTTACAAATATTCATTATAACATTCAACATCAGTTTTAAAAAAAAACTTACAAAAATAAATATACAAAACCAGCCGAATTTTAATAAAAATACATATCACGAAAACACCTCCTTTGATGTTTTCCTCTAAAAAATCCTCTAAATCTTTAAATACACTGTAAAAAAATGACATACAATAATTTGTTTTTATTTTGAGAAAAATGTTATGATCAAAATTAAAAAAGTGCTTCTTAAGTGAATAAAAATTGTGATTGTATTATATGCCAAGATATTTTAAAATTTAAAATTATTATGTTAATAATGTGTGATAAATTTGTGTTAATGAACAATTAAATTTTTCATTTGTTGCATAAACTTTTTTGACGATCACTATAAAGTTATTGAAAAATATATTACAGACATTTCAAATACAGTAATTCTAAAAAAGGGTATACAGGGTGTCCAAGGCTGAGCATGCATTAGAAAAGTTTCTAGAGAGCTACAATATCTAGATCGGAGATTTTTTGCACATCAGATCTATCGATTAAAAATATTTTCAATATGGCGGCACTTCCGGAAATACGGGAAGTTGACACCAACTTTCTTATATTAAATGGGTGCCCCCATTTTTTATTACATATTTAAATTTTCTGTAAAATTTTATAAATTTTGGTATGAAATACTCTATACCTAACATTAACCGGTTTTGAAAAAAAAAGATTTAAAATTTATGAATGAAAAAAAAAAGCCGGTCAAAAATATGTGTATAGCATAAACGTCAAATTTAGTGATTACTACAGCCACCGTGTCAGAAAGAGAAGACATGTAGCTATCTATTTCAAAAATTAAATTGTTCGAATGTCAAATAATAATGGCCGCAGCTGTCATGGAATTGAGCGATTAAAAAATTATCATTAATCATTTTTTTCAAATGGAAACCCACTTTTTTTATTTCACTAGTGAAAAGGCTTTTCAATTCGTTACTTTTTGACTATACATGTTCCTATACCTAAAATAAATCGTTTTTAAGTTATTTAAGATTTAGTTTTAAAGCGTATATTTTTCTTTATTTTAACCAGTAAGTACCATATGATTTTAGACGTCAAGTGATGTAAAACAATAGATCTGGCGATGTCATATTGTTACACTTTGTTCAAAAAGCAGTATGTTATCATTTCCAAGCCAACTTTGCGCTGTTTTATTTTTCGATTATACGGTATATTATTAATAATATCAACTATTAGATATCACTAAAGAGCGCAAATACCAGATATATTTTTATAAATACACTTTTTAAACTCTTAACGGGGCAGGCAGTACCGTATGATCGAATAAAAACGGCGTCAAAGATGGCTATGAAATGAAGATCGCTGTCATTTTATACGTAAAATTATATGAGAAATGTCATCGATCGTCATTTCCAAGCCAACTGGACGCCGTTTTTTTTTCGATCATACGGTATTTATATTATAGGAAATTTAAATAATTCGTTTTCTGACAGATGGAAATAAATTGTTTGACACTTAATATCAAAGGAAGCTAGATAAAATCAAGAAAAATATACGTTTCCAAACTAAATCTTAAATAATTTAAAAACGATTTATTTTAGAAAACATTTTTTTAGAAAAACGGTTAATGTTAGGTAAATAGTGTTTAACATCAATATTCATAGAATTTTACAGAGGATTTAAGTATGAGATACAAAATGGAGGCGCCCATTTAAAATAAGGAAGTTACTGTCAACTTCCGGTATTTCCGGAAGTGCCGCCATATTGAAAATATTTTTAATCGATAGATCTCGTTGTAAAACAATGATGTGCAGAAAATCTCTGATCTAGATATTGTGGTTCTCTAGAAACTTCTAACGCACGCTCAGCCTGGGACACCCTGTATACATACAGGGTTTCCAGAGATATTTAGTGCCATACCTGCAGGCTAACCTTTTGGAAAACTTTTTTTTATTTCGTTTTCTCACAAAAATACGTAGCTCTATGTCCATGGAATACTGGGACACCCTGTATATTATCTTGACTAAAAAGATCCAAAACTGGCAAAGGAAAGTAGTATTTTTGTCTCATAAATCATGAAACCATAGAATACGCCAGTGCTGGGCTAGAATGGCTATGTAAAATGGCCTAGCCAATAAGACCATCGCAGTTTCCGAATCCGAAAATTCAGGAAATTAATATTTAGTTACAATTTATAAGTGTTTTTCAATGCCTAAAATAATTGATAAAAATTAAATAAATATAACACTGAATAAAGTTGTCTAGTTCTTGCAATATACAAGCCTGCAGGTGAGTCACTATATATCTTTGAAAACTATGTAGAGATATATTGTAAAAAAAGTATTATAGATAGATATTTTTCTATATGTATTTCAGATAAATGTTTACATCAGACTTGAGACAGTGTCATATTATTCAAGCACATTTGCGAAATTTCGTAGGAATTTAGCCAGGCGCTGGGCGAATACAGTTTTCTCACTTTCTGCGTCTGGAACGACCTGAAATCCCCACGTTCTATAGTAAATGAGTCTTCTAAAAAAAAGTACCAACATAACCAAAAATAAAATAATAACAAAAAAAAACTAATAGCAACACGAAAAATTGAAAAATAAACAAAAATAACAGATGGAAAAAAAGAAATTTAGAATAATTTTTTTTATGCATTGGGTGGCCCACTAAATAAAAGAAGAAAAAGCCTTGTCTACCTTTGAATAAGAAGACTAAGGAAGGAGCATATCAAAAATCTTAGGTACACCGCGATGGGCCTCAAATATGGCCGACTTAAATTCCGGTTTATCAGTGTCGTTCTAATTTTATTTAAAAAATGTAAAACTATGATGTAGGGTAGACGTCGGGTAGACTCAATAATTTGTTGTTTTATTTTACGGTGTGAATAAATGTTGGTAGTTATTAAAATTGTTATAAAAATATATAATTCTAATAAAAATAGATAAGTTATAATAAGTATTTATTAACACAAACATCCGATACGCTACTGAAGCAGGTAAGTCAAATTAATGTATCAAAGTTCTTTGACATCTGATCTTTGACAAGTAGTAAATAAAAGCTAAAATGCAAGAAAATATATAATTTAGTTAATTTAAGTGAATTTCATAAATGATCTGTATGTATATTATATAGTCACTTACTAGCGAAAAGTTGTTCCATTATTTCAGTCAATTTTTGCCGAGATCTACCGCACGCTACACAACCAACTATTTCAGAGTCTTTTTCGATAAATCGCGATAATGTCACTGTTAATTTAAGTTCTGCCACAATTTCCATCTAGATTTACTACCTTTATACAACTATCAGTAGTAGAATAAATAATAAATAACATAAAATAAGCTCCTTAAAGACTGACAAATCCACAAAATTTCCAATCAAATTCAAATGTGTCAAATGCATCGTCAAACAGAACTGTCAAGGATCCCCACCCTAGAGTGCTTTTTCCGCCCACCATGCATGAATACATGGATAGCATTATGCTCCTTCCTTAGTCTTCTTATTCAAAGATTTTAACTGTGTCAAAATGTAAACGTTAAATAATGTAACAAATCTAAAAGCGGGTTTATATTATGCAACTGTGTTGCGGCGTGCGTCGTTGAATTTATGAAATTTTATTGGTTTATTTCAAAAATGACAGGTAATATCTCAACACGATTGGTGTGACGGAGCGACGGAGGACGCATAACGGATGCATATAAACCCACCTTTATTCATCAGGTATCAGGGATGGGCTTGTAAGTGTCTTTTCCTGTTTTTCATTTTAAAAAAAACGAAGAAAAATAATTTTATATTTTAGAAAGTTTGGCGTAGAATTTTGAACACCCTGTATGATTTAAGATTACGATATTTATAGTAAAGTAAGTACAGACCATCTAAAGTAAATACCTAATATAGTCTTGATTTCAAGACAATTCTTGTATTTTTAATAATTTTTTTAAAGGCTGAAATAATATATTTTTTTATTTATTTATTAATATCTCCGAAACTATCGAAATATATTTACTTATATCTTAGGATTATGTAAAGTGACCTGAAAGGAAGCCAAAAATGCAATAATATACAGGGTGTTACTTTAAAAACAAATCATACCGATACACTTACACTTTTTTGAGCCAGTCCATCCCAGTGCATACTTTAGGTTTGCAATAAAACAAAATTCCAAGATTTTTTTTTATTGTAGGAGCTACAGATGCCCGACGCACTATTGCCAGACCCTGTATATCATTAATAAAATGACCAAACATAGTAAAAAATCGCAATATATATTTTTTACTACAGTCTTTACCAGTTAATAGCGTTTTTAAAGATGCTTTACTAATCTGTGGACGAAAGTTCTTCTTTGCTATTTAAGAAAACATAAAAAATACATATATCTCCTAAAAAACTATTTTTTACACATAAAAAAATACTTTTTTTATGTTAAGTTTTAACTTACCCACCCATCCCTGGCCCATACAACTAACTAATTATAAACTACTAATTAAAAACTCACCTGCTGTAGTGGATCCAGCATTTCTACCCAATTTTCTTACTATGGCATTTTCCAGAGACCGATTCAATGTAATATCAACGGGTAGCTTAAATATATTTTTATCCACAAATTTGTAGTCCGGTTTTTTTATTTGGATGCTCTTTTTACTAACTTTCATAGGCGACTTAAATTTCTTCGCTAAAAAAACCACACAAGTTAAAAACAAATTTATTTTTCAATTTTTAACGTCAACAAATACAGAAAATAATTGTCATTTAATATCATTTAAACAAATAATAACAAGCAATCGAAAGAAACGCCGTTATAGTAGCCTTTGAATTAATTTTAAAACCATTTCTTCCGATCATACAATATTTTAACAGAACCAAAATCCAAACATATTGCAAAATCTAAAATCTAACTCTACTATTATCCCAACCTGGAGTTTCTAATGTTCCATTGGCTATATCATTGTGTGGTTTAGAATTATGATTATTATTATGTGATATTTTTCGGCAGGGTAACCCTATGCTTCTTCTCCTGTCTTGAATTTCCTCTAATAAGGTCCTCATCGCATCTCCTTCCTTAGTTTGAGATTCATTTTCTCCCGGCTTTTTATTTTCATCACCATGAGTGTCTTTCGTTCCATTCAATCTTGTATTATTCAATTCCACTGCTTCACTGTTTGTATTTGCTTTACTTATCATTTCCTGATCGTTAGTAACTTTATCCAACAAGACAAGTAGTTCTTTTGTCTGTCCTTTGCCCTGCTACAAAGTAAAACACTTAACTTACATTAAATAAAATACTATATAACACTTACATTTGGACTTCGGAACTTTTGTTTCAAAAAAACTCTCGAATCAGACGTAACTCCACTGTCTGTGCTTGAAATTGAAGGCGACCTATTATCTGAGCATATTTTCGAACGATTGCTGAGTGATTTCAGTACAGTTTTGTTCTTCTTACAAGAAACGCCTAAAGTAGATAACGTAAAACAGCTTTACAACATTATGCAATATTAACACAACTTACATTCATCAGAAAACTCCAATATATCCTCCAGCTGTCTTGGGAATGTTTTATTTACATTAACTTTACTGCCTAAACAGTTCGAGTTTTTCGTAATGAATCTGGTAAAATTCTGCTCAAACTCCATCTCATCATCTGTATCTATCAGAAGAAAAAATAATCTGTTCACTTCACGGTAGTAAAAAACCGAACCAAAACACGTTTTTATAAACAGAGCAAAAACAAACTCACTGACAGTCTTTTATTGTTGTTGTTGGACTTATAAATGTTTTAATAGGAATAAAATAGTTACCGGAAAACATGGGTTCCTCGTCATGAAAGGGTAACTCGGCTTTCTTTCTCTGCTTTCTGGAATGGATTTGTACGACTGTTTCAGCCATTTAGAACTTAAAGAAATGCATTGAAATTTGCCAAAATCCTCAAAAATATTACCCAAATACAAATAACAAACTTTTTGTTTTCTTTTTCAAATTGAAAGGTTAGAAATGCAAACGGTTTTGAGAAGTTTCAAATACTTTGACAGAATGACAGAAATAGAAAAATTGGAAAGGAGTACTCTAGATTTCTGTAAATTTGCAATTTTATATAATTATTTTCTTTTATATTACAGTTAAAAAACATTTTCAATTGCATTAATTATTTACAAAAGTAATAAATACATAATTCTTGCATATTTATTTAATATAATGCAATAAAATAAAAGAAAATAACAGGCTCATAATTTTTTGATATATAGGCAACTAAATAAACACTTAAGTTTAATTTGGGGCATTTACCATTTACTCACTCAAAAATAATAAATTATTTGACACTATTTTGAAGAAAAAAAAATGAAGAAGGAAATTAAAGATAAAGGATTATACTATATCCCTATTGTAGCACATTTTTAGACAACTTCTTTATTTTCCAGACTTTGAGGGTCAAACATCAACAAAATATTCCTTATATTTGGACTAAATTTTCTCGAAAATAAAGACATAATTTAAAATTTTGTTACAATGCGGCTTTGCAATGCGGAAATAGATTGAAGTTTTGTGATTACCTTTAGACTTAGACAAGGAAAGAGAGGGGACACGCATATACTCCCCTGATCGGTTAGTGAGGCCAAAATTCGATCGGCGGCCATACTTTGGTGACAAGATTTCGAGGTGACACCGAGCGAATTTTTATGTTTTTTGTGACAACTGTTTTGTTTTAAATTTATAAACTGTGTTGTTTAGTACGGTGAGATGTTCAGCGTATGGCTGCAAAGGCCGAAGCGAGAAAAAAGTGGCTGGAATTACATTTCACAGGTCAAAATCGATTCACAACTTTTGTTATGTGGTCATAAAATGTACATTTTTTTCATTATAGCAGTAAAAATATGTAAAATGCTTTTAATATGTCTTGTATCACATCCAAACCAAACTATTTTTAATAATTCCAAGTAGGAATTTCAATATCCTGTATTATAATTAAAGGCGGATTCTCACGACTGGCGTACTTGACAAACATTTGTTATTGGAATATACTTGCCATGTCGTGAGAACGGGTTCCTTGGTCACTTGTCGCGTCCCCACTCTCTGCCGGTAAATATAGCCCGAGTCAAACGATTAATCGTACACTTGCTAAGTATACGCTGGGCCAGCCTTGCTTTACACTTGCCGAGGCGCAAAAAAAAACGACTGCGCAAATAATGTTACTGTTATAGCGTATGTCCGATTTATTTCCGGATCGTAGTGTTTTTCGAGTTAATTGCTGATAATTTAAAACGGTAAAACAATAATAGATTATGTAATATCAAATTTACATTAATAACTTCAATATTGGCGACATACCTAAATCGTTTTCACAGCAATAAATGGAGTGTGGACAAATGAAGACTACACGGGAAAAACGAGATATGTCACATTTTCATAGATATTAAGATAGCTATACAACTTTATAGACAAATGTCAACGTCATTCGAAAAAAGAAAGCAATAATACGCTTAGTCCCAGAGATATTACAGCTTGGTTATTTTGCCGTACAAAGGAAAAATCAGAGTAGTCCACGCGTAAATAGCAAAAACCAGAGATGTACTTACGCATGGGCGACAAGCATGCATCTTGCAATTAGTATTATATTATAAAAACAAGGGTTATTACAGAAAATAAACGTCGAAAATCAAAAACACAAACAAATTTATTCCGCTCGAAACTTGCCGAAGCTTACAATAAACAACAATAATCTCGACTGACCGAAAAACATAGATGAATCAATAAATCTCTCAAAAACATCATCTGACACGATCGATAGAAAATTATCCTTATGTAACAATCTTAGAGGTATACACATACGTAATTAATTTATGTACGTACATATGGAATATTTTTTTCGTTATCAATAGGTATGTTATAAATTTATGTATTGTAATAAAAACCTACATAAATATTAATTTTCAACAAAAAAAATATGTAGTTTAGATTTAGGTTTTATACAACCTTTAATTAATTGAACATCTCTGGTTTTCCCCTGTTTTGTTTTGCATTTTGACTATTTTTTTTTAGATTATCTATTTAGATTTTTATTTCAATATTTCAGAATATGGCGATAAAATGGACAAAACTGGGTTTTCCCGTGTAGTCTTCAAATGATGTTTTGTTTTGGAATTTAGGGATTTATATGAAAATGAGTCCTTCATATGGATGGCCAAACATAAAGAACATAGAAATCGTAGTGACAACTGTTTTGTTTAAAATTTATAAACTGTGTTGTTTAGTACGGTGAGATGTTAACAGCGTATGGCTGCAAAAGGCCGAAGCGAGAAAAAGTCGCTGGAATTATACTGTTTACATGCCAAGGATCGATACACAACTTGGCAAATACGCAAATATTGGCGTTTTTTTCATTATAGCAGTAAAAAATATAGTACAAAGTGGGGATATGTCTCGATATCACATCCAAACCAAACAAATATTTAATAATTCCAAGTAGTAACGCAATATCGTGCATTATGCCTTAATGTTTGAAACTATAAATATTGCTACTCAGACCGGATTTCACCAGTGGCGTAGGGAATTATAATCAGAGAAATACAATTTCCGCAATAAACATTTTTTTATATATTTTACATGTAAAAAAATGTATAAAGTATTGATATCAAATATGTAAAATAATTGTAAACTATAAGAAAATGAAAAATTCTAGTGATAAAAAATCTATATGTATAGTTGTTATATAAAACTTAAATTTACCTGCCAAGATTTGTTGGGGGTGGACAAACTTTTGTGGTGGGCTACTTGTTACTACATACATATATTTTTTTATATATTCTTTTAAAAAATTTGCTGATTTAAGTGTATAATAATACCGTATGGTCGAAAAAAACGACGTCCAGTTGGCTTGTAAATGACGATCGACGACATTCCCTATATAATTTTACATATAAAATGACAGCGATCTTCATTTCATAGCCATCGCTGACGCCGTCTTTTTTCAATGTCGTTTTGTATAGTTTTTATGTCATTTTATATGTAGAATTTTATGGGGAATGTCATCGATCGTAATTTACAAGCCAACTGGACGTCGTTTTTTTGCGATTATACTGTATAATAATGAATCTAGCCAATTCCCTTCACATTTGCTTACGGATTCAATGAATAATGTAATTTTTAATATTCATTTGTGAAATTGTCATTTCCAAACAAACAAGACGCCGTTTTTTTCGATCATACAGTATATATGTATATACACGTTTAAAATACATGTTATTACATTATTTTTTATTTAATTATACATTATACACTCGTTAATAAATAAATAATTGTCTTGATAATCAGTCCACTGTGACTGTTAAATAAATTTTGCATTATCGACTTAGATATTCTAATATTATAAAGGTGAGACTATAAAATACAAAACTGTATATGCATTACTCAAAAATAAACGATATATTAGTTCACGTTTTAATAAATATTTGGTACCGTCTAGGTACAAGCTAATTTCTGATGCTACGCCATTGGAGAATTTCGAGTGGTGACAACTTGCCTCACTTTCAGCTGCCGTGTTACCTGTCCCCTCTCTTTCCTTGTCTAAGGTGATTACAGTGATATATAATTTATATGGTTTTGTAACAAAAATATATAAAAAATAATTTTTAAAGGAATCAAGAAAAAATATTTTATTTGTTGCAATGCATTATATTTTTTTTAATTGATTTACAAGTACTTATTTACAAATATTTTACATTTTAATTGTCTTATTATTTTACAAATATATTTTGTTTTATCTTACAGAACTTAAAAATTAATAAAAACTAAATAATCTAAAAGAATACATTGTAAAAATATAAATTCTAATTGTGTTTTAAACAATTTGATCTTCATTTGAGAAATTTTAATCACTTTTACAGTATAATTAAGAAAGGTGTTTACAACTAAGTAGAAAATTTGAAATATATTTTTAAAAATACAGAATTAAATATTTAAATTGTAAAAAAATATAAATTCAATTACCTATTTTTATTAAAATTATCTGCTAACAATTTTCTTAAATATATACATTCTATACAATATTCTTTAGTGCTTCAATACTATATGAATGATATTTTGGCTTAAAATCTTGACTAGATTTACACTCATCGTATTTTTTCTCTATAACTTCTATACAAAAATATAAAAAATAAACTTAATATAATAATAAGCTATATTTTTAACTTAATATACGCACAGCCACCTATACATATATCTTATATAAATAAAAAAATTAAATATAAGTACACCTGCTGTCATATTCATCTCATGATATTTTTTTTGTAATCATATGCGGTATTTATAAAATAAACATATTTTTTTTATTAAAATCTACTTAATGTAAATAAGTACTGGCCTAAACCCACTAATATCACATGACATAATCTTAATTAACATACAGGGGTAATATAAAAAGTTTCAAAGTATTTAAAAATATTGACAATCTGAAACAATTTTTTTAAAAAACTTATTTTTTTCAAAAATTTAAACTTGTATTTAGATTGATCTTTTAAATGTTTGCTTAACAGTAAAATCTTTGTATACCGGGTGTGTTTCAAAAGTGTCTCACCCCCTATATCTTTTTTATTTTTTCAGATAAAAAAAACGAGATTTGGTACGTTAGTATGTGACATAAATCAGGATTGTTTGACGTATTCAATTGTTTTCAATCACTTCCTGTTTAACCGGAAATGATCACAATTTTTGATTTTTAAATGACATCCGCTGTATTTTTTTACTTAATTCGATAGACAATGACACTCTGAATAGAATGACATATCATATTATGTCTACTTTTGACATTTTTGCATATGGTTTATTTAAAATTGTAACATGCGGTTTATAACGACAATTTAACTCGAAATACCAAAGTGTGTGGTAAAAAATAATTTTTCCAAATATACTAATGAGCCAGATATGATTAAAAATATGATTTGAAGACGATCAAATCTATCTTTCCAAGGCTCGTTGATTAAAAAATAGTGTTTTTAACACCACAGCCTCTAGATTGAAATTTAAAATACGATTTTTTAAGGAAAAATGTCAAAAGTTGACATATAATATGTCATTCTATTCAAAGTGTCATTTTCTATTGAATAAAGTAAAAAAAATACCGAGGGTGCCATTTAAAAATCAAAAGTTGTAGTCATTTCCGGTGAAACAGGAAATGACCGAAAACAATTGAATACATCAATCAATCCTAATTTATGGCACATACTAACATACTAAATCTCATTTTTTTTTGTCTGAAAAAATAAATAAATTATAGGGGTGAGCCACTTTTTAAACGCACCCGATATATTATTTTTAACATTTTCGATTGTTTTAGACCAATTTACGAATCCCCTGTATATATATAACTACAAATCTAAAATATTCTACCTATACATATGGCAAAATAATTCACGAGTTATTTTTAATTTAATAATAAAAGTAATGAGGCGAATCAAAAATAAAAACGATACTTATTTCTTTACTCTTTTTGATATAATTTATTTGATTGGTTTTGAATCGCCCTGTATAATTTTTATAGTGTAGGTCAGTTGCCGCTTTAAGCTTATTGCAAACTCTTTTCCCTGCCCGCACTGTTCTATTTTTATTTTATTTTTTATTTTAAAAAGAAAAAAATATTAATAAATACATCCTAAAGCAAATGATTTCTAAAAACCAACTCAAATTAATAATTGTATTTCAATCCTACATTGTGTTTTATTTTATATAATTACTCTAAAGGAACTTCTATGTTGATATATCCATTCTTTATAAATATACACATTAAATCTAAGTATCGTACATTTACTCGTATAGGGAGTCTTTAAGTTACCAAAGTAATGTGAACATTTTATTGTGTGGAATCCAGTTATTTATACGGGGTGTCCCAGAAATAATGCAAATATTTTAACTGGTAGTATAGTTCAACCCCAGAAACACGCCTATGAGGTTTTTTTCGCAAAAAAAAGAATTTGAAGATTCGAAATTTTTCTTTGACACCTTGTATAGCGTTTTTAACGAAATTGACGGCAAAATAATATACAGTGTCCCAGAAATAAGTGCAAGTATTTTAACTGGAGTATAGTTCAACCCCAGAAACACGCCTATGAGGTTTCTTTTTCGCGAAACAAAAATTTTGAAAATACGAAATTTTTTAGAATTTTTTTTTAGTTTTTAGTTAAAAAACATAATTTCTTGATAATATGGCAACATAGGTATTAGATTAAATCTACAAGAAAGAAAATCTAGAAAAGATCCAGTGATTCTCAATATTTTAGCAAAAAATATTTTTTTTTGGAAATTTTCAAAGTAAAATAACTCCGTTATTTCGGACTTATTTGAGAAACGATAAAGAGAAAATATGTTTCTTTTATCGAGATCTACCACCCCTTAAAATACTTGCATTAATTTCTGGGACACCCTGTATATGAAATATATCTGAATCTATCGTTGTACTTGTAAAAGTGTGTTTTTTTCTATTATTAATTATTTTACTACTCTAAAACTCCCTTTTTATTTATCACAATCAGAATATTGTGCTTAAATTACCTAAAAACTAGTGACTTTACTATACAGGGTGGTCCAAATTATAATCGGGAAACTTTGGCAGCATATTCTGCAGATAAAAATATGTAAAAAAGTTCTTATGAACTCACGTCCCAAAATGCCTCGTTTCAGAGATACAGGGTGTAGAAGTTTCATTCAAAATAAGCGTTCGGCATTTAACGTTTTATGTAAAATGCGTTTTTTGCGTTTTTAGCGTGAAGCGTCTTTAGCGACTAAAATAAAATAACAGGATTATATAGGAGTGACCCCACCAAAAGCGTGTAGCGTTCGGCGTGTCTCGCAAAAAACGCAAATGAAAACAAATCAGCTCGTTTTCTGTAGCGTCTTTAGCGTTTTCTAAGATGAGACCCCGTCATAGGCGGACGTTATATTTAATAATACAATAAAAATAAATTAAATAGTATGCATTTTTTTCATTTTAGGATATTCTCTAAAAATATTTTTATAAAGAACATCTACTGTTTAGAAAGATTTTATTAAATTCAAAAATTTGATGGAAATGTTTGAAAAAGTGTAGTTTGAAATGTTGAAAAAGTAATAAATTAAAGGAATATTTTCTTACGCGTAAAAAATAGTTTTTTATACGTAAAAAGTGTTTTTTTCTGCGTAAAAAAGGGGTTTTAACGTTTTTGACGCGTAAAAAATATCTTTTTGGGTAAAAGAGTTTTTTACTAGAAACAATAAGTTTTTGGCGCGTAAAAATTAGTTTTTTACGTGTAACAAATAGTTTTTTACACGTAAAAAATATTTTTTTTGCGTAAGAAAGGTTTTCTACCAGAAACAATAAGTTTTTGACGCGAAAAAAATAATTTTTTACGTGTAACAAATAGTTTTTTACACGTAAAAAATAGTTTTATACGCGTAAAAAGTAGTTTTTTACCAGTAACAAATAGTTTTATACGCGTAAAAAATAGTTTCCTACAAGTAACAAATAGTTTTATACGCGTAAAAAATAGTTCTTTACGTGTAACAGTTTTATTCGCGTAAAATAATAAAAATAGTTTTTTACGTGTAACAAATGTTTTTTTACACATAAAAAATATTTTTTTTGCGTAAGAAAGGTTTTCTACCAGAAACAATAAGTATTTGACTCGTAAAAATTAGTTTTTTACGTGTAACAAATAGATTTTTACACGTAACAAATAGTTTTATACGCGTAAAAAGTAGTTTTTTACCAGTAACAAATAGTTTTATACGCGTAAAAAATAGTTTCCTACCAGTAACAAATAGTTTGACACGCGTAAAAAATAGTTTTCTACAAGTAACAAATAGTTTTATACGCGTAAAAAATAGTTTTTTACGTGTAACAGTTTTATTCGCGTAAAATAATAAAAATAGTTTTTTACGTGTAACAAATGTTTTTTTACACGTAGTAATTTGATTCACTTTTACAAAATTTGTATTAAAATATCAATATTTTTGATAAACACGTGGACTGCTCACAAATATACGTCGCGTCACTACGTATGTCTAAGCCGATAACACGTTTCGTTACAACGAGCTCGTGTGTCAGGGCCTACTCACTAGCTCGTATGTCACAGCCTTCAATTTTTACTCCCAGCGCGCGTAAAGAAGTTTCATTCCATAATGTTTCATAAATCATGTCCTAAAATTGCATTAGCAACTAGAAATATTTACTATTCTATTATATAATTATAATTATTTATTATATTATATTGTAATTATAACAAGTACTAACCACAACACTACAACATAAAAAAAACTATACACATATAAACTAAAATTCGGAAAATAAATGACAAATAATAATTATTATTTTTACACACACCACTGGCACTGGCAGTAGATTGTGTTTGTCTCGAAATATATGCCCCGGCCCGTCCACAATTCAATCCCAGCATCTTTTATCTTCGTCTTTTCAACGCTAACGGCGCCGATCTCGTCTATCTCTTTCTCACAGGATTGATTGTTGGACGGGCCGGGAATCCACGAGCTTGCGACGTTACTAATTGACATCTTGACACAAATCGAAAAAAGCGCTTAAAACGGTAAAATCGCAAAAAGCGCTTGAGACGCAAAAAAACGCAAAACGCTAAAAACGCTTTCTGTGTGGCCGTGGGCTTAGGCAGATTTCTGAAATATAATATATATTTCCTTCGGCCACACCGGTCTTACCCGACCCCTCAGAGCGACCCGAACAGTACAGCGTAATAGACTCTTAAATTTATACGAACTGTTTACTTATTTTTATCTGTAGAATATGTTGCCGAAGTTTCCCTATTACCGTTTGTTCCGCCCTGTACATATGATTCTAAAATAAATAAATGACTAGATAGACTGGACCAGAATAAAATAAAACCTTGACTAGAATTACTAAATTACAAAGATTATATGGATTACATGTTAAATTATGTTTTTTTATAAAATACTAGGTGTTTTTGCTAGATTGTCCACTTCATAGTAGATTCATTACTCAATGCTGCTTTTTAATTAATTTTTACAGTAGATTTTTCTGTAATACTTTACATTTTTCTCCATAAATTAGTAATAATAAAATGACTAGAAAAATATGTTTTTATTAAACTAAAGTACCGTATGAACGAAAAAAAACGGCGTCAAAGATGACTAGGAAATGTCTATCGATGATAATTTTGGCGAGGTCAATTTCTAGAACTTGTCAAAAATTAACACTAAATTATAGAAAGAATAAAAAAGGACACCTACACCATTTAAAAATCATTTTTACTCAAATAAAAATAAATTGCAATCTTCTTAAGGCCCACTGGCAGAAAGCGCCATTAAAAACAAAGAAGATACAGGCCAACTAAACACAGGTCAAAATTATCATCGATTGTCATTTCCCAGCCATCTTTGACGCCGTTTTTTTTCGATCGTTTTGGTAGTAATATTAAAGTGACTAGAAAAATATGTTTTTTTTATTAAACTAAAGTATTAAAATGACTAGATAGTATAGATAAAAAAAGACTAGAAATGTAATAAGTACGGTAATTAAACCTTAAATAAAGACTATTTTAAACTAAAATAGATGACTAGATTTAGCGACTAGAAGGATCAATATACACGGTGATGCGTGAAAATAAAGACTAATCTATGTGAGATCGTTAGCGTGAATACTGACTTAAAAACTAGGAAACTGTACATTTGGAATGTTCTGTATGACTAGGTTGTGACTAGATTCATTCGTCCTCATATTTGACTAGAAAAAATGATATATGTACATCATATCTACTAAATTTAATTTACAAAATTATTTTAAATTATTTTTATACAGTATGCTCAAAAAAGTCTACATCAAATGGAAATTTTTATTATTTGAGATAGGTGTAGTAGAGACCAAGAATTAAGTATACAATTATAAGGAAGCGAACTGGTTTAGCTGTCGTATTTGACATTTTTTCTATTAAAAATTTCGAATTTTGTTAAATCTCGCATTTTTTTACTCTACCTACCCAATTTTATCACCCTGGGAAAATTTGTATTTTTTGTCTTTTTTTTTTAATTTTGACTAGTCCCTGTATATTAAATTCTAAGTGGCAATGCAAAAATATTTAACTTGAAGCAGTAAAAATAGGTTGAGGACTCGCTTACATATGACAGAAATTATTTAAATAATTTTGTAGCTTTTGGCGCCCAACGTGGGCCAATTTTTTTAGTTTTAGCTGCAAGGATGGTTTAGATCAATTTTTTTTAAAATTAAACTACGACATGTCAAAATCACCAAAATCATCAAAAAAATGTTAAATTTGATGTTGGGTAAATTTATCGTCACACGTTAAGTCTCCCAATTATGATACTTAATTTTAGGTTTTAGACAAGCAAAAAATAGCTACGTTAGAATATCTAATTCTACCGTTCTAAAATAACAAAAAATCTATTTTATGCAAACATTTTTAAGGGACATTTTCTAATTATGCAACCAAACATACAACATACGTGTTTAACTGGTTGCATACATACCTAAAAATCTAATTTATTTACAGTTATTGGCAAAGTCGATCCAGGACAGTCCCGGGAAGTACCTGTCGGAATCTAGGACGCCGCCCCCGCACATGGAGGGCAGCGGGGGCGGTCTCCATAGGTTAGGGGGCAGTCGGGGGATCGGCCTTACCGGCACCAGCCGTTGTCAGTCCATCTGGTGGATCGTTTGGTGTTTCCGTAGATAGGCCAGCTGAAAATAATTTTTTTTAAAGGTATTCAAATTTTTAAATTTAATTATTAATATATTAATTTTAATCAGATTTAGATTTTTTTAATTAAAATTAAGTTTTATAAAAAAATATATTGATTTAAAAAAAGGTAAAGAAACTATTTTCAATTACTGCTTACTCTTCTGAATCGTTTGCCGCACTCATGGCAAGGAAATTGGTCACCGAGATCAGATTCAATGTTGGTACTCTCTTCGATTTTGCTAGGTACGTCCCTGGCGGGTCTTGGTTTGTGCCAACGTCTATGCGAAGCTAGGTTGGCTGGACAGTTGAATACTTTATCGCATTCTGGACACCGGTATTCCACATGGACTATGCGAGAACATCTGCAAAGAAAATATGGATTTTTATAAAATACAAGAAACCAAAGCATTTTAAAAAAATATATATTAAAAATACAAGAACTCTTCAAAAATCTATGCCAAACCAAAGATAATTCTACTACTATAATATTCTTTGGCCAAACTTACTGAAATATAAAATATTTTTTCTTCGTTTTTTTTTAAGTGGAACACCCTGTATATTATTTTTTGATAGATGGAAAATTAAAAAATGAGAATTTTTTTGTAGTTAGAGTATTTCAGAATTTTTAACAGTTTCACAGATATTTGCGGTTTTATATTTCACTAGTTGAAGCCTGGCGCATCCGCCACAACATCAAGAAAAAAAATACTTTTTATTTTTTTTTAATTAAATGAAAAACAAAAAATCCGGCGACGACAGTTTTTAGAAGAACCAATTATTATTACCATTTATAACCATTTATTAAAATTAATTTCGGGAGACAATAATGCAATTTTATCGTCGTGTATAAAACAATATTTTTTTTCATGGCGAGTTACGCTTTAAAAAAAATTCAGAAATTATTATTTCAAGGAATTTTTTGCGAGTAGAAAAAATATTGTGCTGGGTTGGCGTCGGTTTCTATGTAATTTGACAAACAAATAAAGCTGTCTCTTTAGTTGTCAGTTTTGAGTCAATATTTTTTAATTCCCTTTCGTGTCGATTGCTGATTGAATTAGAGCCAGAAATGGCTCAAAACGAAATAAGTAAATTACCAACAGATATTCAGGCTGAGGCGACAAACGCCATATCCAAACTACTTCCATTTAAATCCCGAATAACTTATGAAAAGGAATACAAAAATTTTCCAAAATGAAAGCAATTAAAAAACGTGCGAGAAGAAATAAAGTTTTTAACCTATCCTCGCTGTTAAAGTGTCATTCAATCTACCCTTGCGGTTAAAGTACTATTTTATCTACTATTTTTGATAGATATAAAAAAAATTTAACAGTTGCAATGGAAAAAAGATAAATTTTCTCTCTAATTATGAAAAAATCTTTTAAAAAAAGTGTAATATTTATTAAAACAGAATATTCTTTTAAAATTTAGATTGAAAAAAAAAATAAACTCAGAGAAGGTTAAAAATATAAATTAGCCAATTTTAATCTGCTTAAAGTCCTTCTGTTTGTATTTTAATGGTGACTCGGTGGCAAACTGAGCTCAAAACCGGAAGTGGCCTATTAGTTCCACTTTGCATCGGCACGATAGTGTGTTAATCTACACGTGAAGTCAAGTGGCACGTGCCGACAGTGTACCTGTGGCTGTACCAGCATGATTTTACCATAAAATGGTCTGCGAGGTCACGCTTAAATAACTGCAATTAATTTAGTGGTTTCAAGCTCAATTACCTTAATGGATGTAGGTAGCTATTTAATTATAAAAACATTTTTTCTATTATACTGTTATACCGAGTGTTCAAGACAATTGGATAAGTTTTTGGATTCTTCATAAAAGGCAGGAAGCTTAGTGAAAACTCTTTAGTACGTTATGGTGTACAGGATGGTCCAATTTTCGTGTGTTTTATAGAGTTTCTCGTTTATGAGTAGAGAAACAAAGATGCGGTTTTCACATCACTATGCTACTATTTCATGAAACTAAAGATGCTATACACAGATTTGTTCTAGCCCTTTATTTTTCTCTTATTTCCTCAAATACAGTAACTAGTATTACCACAGATTATACAGATTATAATCTTTGTTTTTTCTTTATTGTTTTTCCTGGTTCCAATTTTCGAAATCGGGCACTAGTTAGGTTACTAGTTTGCGCACATAGCACGCCCACTAAAATTGTCGCCTGACCGGCACAGTTATTAGAGAGATATCGGAAAACCGAACAGCGTCATCCAGTATTTACGCGTACCTTATCATGGTTACGATTTGGGCGAGTCAATTTTTAACGCAACACCCGCTAATAACGTTACCGCCTGACGTAATTTGCGGATCAATTACACCAAGCGCTCTTTCTAAATAACCTCTGATAACGTTTAAAAATTGCTTAAATGGGCATGTGCGGGTATTTGACAACCGGAGCCGGCCGGCGAGATCTTTTATTTTAGGTTATGTTTAATTGTTTTGAATTATTGCTTTAGTTTTATTAGGTAATTTGATATTTAAGTAGCTGGGATTAGTTTTAATTAAATAAATATGGCCCAAAATATGGATTCCACCTTGTCCAATACTAAAGAACCTATAAAGAGTCTTAGGTTTACAGCAGATGACGACTTAGCCCTTCTAAGAGAATTTGTTGGTTGATGCCCTAAACCCACTGGCAGACGTTGAACAATAAAGCACTGGAAATAAGCACTTTAGCCCTCTAGTTTTAAAATACCTAGTAAACAAAACAATTTCAAAGTTTTAAATTCAAAGTTAGGTTAAGTTTAAATAGCGGACGCGACGCGATCAAAATTCTTTCCGATCCGATAACTATAAATGAAGAGAGTTAATACCACCTCACGTAAAGGAAATAACACCTGACCTTATTAACGTCCATGCACGCTATTCGGTTTAGCGATATCTCTCTATTACGCTGTTTATTGTTATTTTGCGCAAGTTTATTTTTGCGCACAGGAAATTTGACTCGTTTGCACATCGTCATAAAAAACAATTTTCGTACCACGAATTAGGGACAAGATTTTTATCTGTATACTTATAGGATACCTAATCTGTGGTATTACAGTAATTTGATCTAATAAACGAGAAACTCCGTAAAACACTTTTAAACGAGACACCCTGTACATTACATTTTCCCATTTTACTTTGTTCCACTTTTAATGGTTTTTATTTCTTTTACGTTTTTTACCTAGAACTTTTATTGATAAAACAAATTATACTATATTATATTTTAATAATAGTGTCTGAAGATAGCATATTATGTTAGTTTCAGTGGCGGATACAGAGGGGGCCCATGGGCCCGCCCCCCCCCCCTAAAACCTATCAATTGGATTAAATATTAGGCTTTTGGAATAAAAATGGCGTCCTAAAAAGCATATTCTTCATTACTTTTTATTTGGGCCCCCCCCTAAAATAAATTCCTGTATCCGCCCCTGGTTAATTTCACAATAGTTATTTACAGTACAAGTGTGTTTATGAACATGATTACAACAACGAGTGTGAACATACTCGTTGTTGTAATCATGTTCATAAATCGTTGTAATCATCGTTGTAATAAATACATACATGTTCATAAATCGTTGTAATCATGTTGTAATCATCGTTCATACTACGAGGTCGTAGACCGAGTCGTTCTAATCACACGAGTGTTGTAATCATGTTTAAACGCACGTGGCATGTACAACGTTTTATCTACAACCGAAAAATAAGAAATTGCTGTTTTAATTTTCGTTTATTAGTCGCCCACTCTGTCGCCCACCTTTAACTATGACATTTGTCACATTTTTTTCTGAAAAGTCAGTTTGCCCAGTCAAGTAAACGCGAGCATTTTTTGCCCAGAAAAATAATTTTAAAAATTACGATGAGCGATTCGGAAAGATTCAGTGTTATGAATCTCATAACGTAACTGAAATACTAAAAAAAAAGTGATGTAAAAACGTTATAACTAAACGGTTGTAGATAAAATATATATATAATTTTACAAAATTGTTCATATATCTATTTAATGATTATTAACAAACGATACTACTTTCAATATTCAGACTTACCTATGTTGTGCTAACCCAAAAGCATCCTCGTAGAGTTCTTTGCACAATTTGCACACATAATCTCCAATGTGGTTCTCTATTTTGGCTAGCTCTGCTTTGGCCTCTTCAGTCACCTCCACAACATTAAAAGCAGGATCTATATCACCTAATAAACCAAAAAAACTTAATTACATTTAAAAAGTACTTTTTATATTAATTAATTAACTTTTATATTAATTAATTTTTTAATTAATTAATTGTTTATTCAATCCATTCATTGTATATTAATTAGTTAATTAGTTAACGTTTATATTAATTAACTTTTATATAAATAAATAATTATGTCTACCTTTTCTAACAACCAAATGCTCGTCTGGGCCCAATTTCCTGATGATAGTACCCGAAACGGGTGAGCTATTATCTTCATCAAAATTGAGTTTTCTGGTGGCTTTGTTTTTCTTGGGTGTGGGAGAGGATAACTGAAAAAAATACAAAAATTACAATTTTCAAAAAAAAACTTAAAAAAATAGTTACGTTTGTGTAGCGTGAGATTATCCCCAAGCTAAAAACATCAAGAATACTCTAGCTATGGTGAGTCTTAAGTAAGTGTAAATAGTTTTAGGGATAGTATATTTCGACCCCAGAAACAAATTAATTAAAATAAATTAATTAAGAACATAAATAAATCAGGAGAGACTACAAGAGTCACTGTCATATCACTATCTTCTCGATAGAAATTTTTTGCATTGTTTTAAGAATAAATTTTATAATATTTTGCTTTCTCTCGAAATAACTGAAAATTACCTTGATTTTCTTACTTGGCACTTCAGGAGTCACGGAACTGATGTCCACTGGCGTTTTGATTTTGGGCGATGGTGTACATGGAGGTGTAATAGGAGCCTGGCTTTTCAAACTGAGGTCCAGAGGACACGACGTGGTCAGTTCCAAAGGCTCAGAGTAACGGATGTAGTGCTGGAACTGGACGAGGTGCGGATCCAGGCCGAACTTGTCAATAGCCAGACGGTGCAGGACAGAGGGTTGGTGTGGATATAGATGAGGAGTCCTGAAATAATAAACGCAAGGTCTTGTAGAGTACTGCAAATTGATTTGACGCGAAGCTGTACGTTTGACAATTTCAGACATTACAGGCGAGGCACAAAAGATCATTTTTACTCCGAATAGACCATGCTATATTTTTTTCAGTCGTCACAAATAATTTTTTAAACAGTTTCAAACGTTGCAAATAAAGAAATAATATAAAAAAATTTAAAAGTACATAATACCTTGTAAGTAATTACATATCAAAATTTAAGGGAAGCTTGATATACTAGATATCAAATATTTTGTGTCTCTCTGTTAAGTCGTTACTTAAATTCAGCCCTGTATTAATTTAGTTACCTAATTTTATAAAAAAAATTAGATTTTGTCATAACATCATAAACTATGATTCCCATTTTATATTTATAAAAGTGTTTGTTTTGAAAAAAGTATGAAAAAAAGCGGTTTCTAAATTACCAAATATGACAATTAAATTACATAGTGTATATTCCAAGATGATATAGTGTATATTTGCCAAAGTAAGTTATAGCTCTATTCGAAGTAAAAATGAATTTTATGTATATTTTTTCTGTGATATTATAATTTATTTACTATACACGATGTTCCAGAAATAAGTGCAAGTACTTTAATTGGTAGTATAGTTCAACCCCAGAAAAACACCTATGAGGTTTTTTCGGAAAAAAAAATTTGAAAATTCGAAATTTTTTGGAGATTTTTTTAGTTTTTAGTTAAAAAACGTAATTTCTTGATAATATGGCACCGTAGGTATTAGATTAAATTTATAAGAAAGAAAAATCCAGAAAAGATCCAGTGGTTCTCAAAATTTTAGTAAAAAATTATTTTTTTTGGAAATTTTGAAAGTAAAATAACTTAACGTTATTTTGGACTTATTTGAAAAACGATAAAGAGAAAATATGTTTCTTTTATCGAGATCTACCACCCTTAAAATACTTGCACTTATTTCTGGGACACCGTGTATATATAAAATCATAATAGCTATTGCAAATTTCTTTATTCTTATTTTTTTCCTATTTAAGTAATATATTATGGTACGTATTCATGTTTGTGTATAATATTGGTAACATCTAAACCATAATTGGATTTTTTCTTCAAAAACAACAGGACACTTATAATGACCGTTTTAAAAGCTCCTAAAATTATTATGTATCTACTTAACCTGTATAAAATAATGACCCTTTACTACCCGCAATCGACAAACTACCAACAAACCTTTCAAGTTAAAGGATCAGATATATACAGGGTGGGTCTTAAATAAGTGCACATATCTTCAGAACTATAGATCTCGATCTCGAAAAAAATAATTTTTTATTCAAAAAAATCGCAGAAAACCTCATACCTAAAAATGCCACCCCTAAAAATGTATTATATTATACACCCTGTATTTATAAAAAATAATATATTTATACAGGGTTGTTCACCACATACGACACGGAGTATTGTAGCTAAACGATGAGATTTTTACAAATTGTAAGTTTTGGGTTCGATGAAGGACTATTAGAGGTACAATTTAAAAATAATTTTACAAGATACAGAGTGTCCCAAATAATTAAAAAATATCAAAGTTGTATTTTTTTAAATGGAACACCCTGTATATTATTACATTTTTAGTTTCTACGATTAAAATAAAGGTAAATTTGATTAAGATTTATTATACTTAAACCTTACCGTTTTTGAAATATTTTCAATTTTGTGAAATTGCAGTAAATTGTAACTTAAAACGTAAAAGTAACTTGTTTAATTTAAATGGAACACCCTGTATATTTTACGAGAATCAAATGCACAATTTAATTGTCTATCAAATTATATTATACCATTTTTTACCTATCCCTTTAAGTTTCCGTAGAAAATGCATTTTCTTGTAATTTAGAACTTATTTATCAATATACCCATGGACTATTGACATTTTAGATTATTTTTAAAGACGTACCAAATTTTTAAAGAGTACAGATACTAATATTGTCGATATTATTCGTTTATTTCATTAAAAAATAAAAAAAAAAACTGTTTAAATATTTGTTAAAGAGGATCAATTAATATGATTCCAGTATTCAAACTACATTAACTGATTGTTTGCGTTGATTAATAATAATTGCTCCAAATACTAAAAAAGTAAATTTTGTATGGGCATTAGACAGTGTGATAAAAAGTAACACCTTAAAAATGATATTTCATTTTTTAATAAATGCTTATTTATAACAACAAAGACTTTAATTTGATAACTTATTATTATATTGATTTCTGACTCAAAAATCCACATTTATTTATAATAATTTATTAACGAACACAATTAAGTACGTCATTAATTAGTATATGGGCGGAAATAATGGTGTTATATTTAATTAATGCCGCTCTTTTATAAAGATTTAAATAGTTTTCTTTTTGCATACAAATGGGCTAGTAATATTATCGTTTTGCTAAAAACGATAATAGTACTAGTCTGTACATTTTGTACATTTGTTGCTTTAAAAACAATCTAAAATGTCAATATTCCATGGATATATTGATAAATGAGGTCTAAATTATAAGAAAATGCATTTTCTACGAAAACTTGAAGGGATAGGTAAAAAATGGTATAATACAATTTGATAGACAATTTAATTGTGCATCTGATTCTCCAAAAATATACAGGGCATTCCATTTAAATTAAAGAAGTTATTGCCGTTTGAAGCTAATAATTATTTAAAATAAATTTTTAGACACTCTGTATAAGGTAGTATTATTTTTATTATTGCAACACAATAACTGATCAATAAATAAACTTCATTAAATATTTAGCATTAAAAACATTGACACCCTTGGAGAAATGAAGCTTTAAAATTTTTATTGCAATTTCACAAAATTGAAAATATTTCAAAAACGGTAAGGTTTAAGTATAATAAACCTTAATCAAATTTACCTTTATTTTAATCGTAGAAACTAAAAATGTAATAATATACAGGGTGTTCCATTTAAAAAAATACAACTTTGATATTTTTTATTTATTTGGGACACTCTGTATCTTGTAAAAATATTTTTAAATTGTAGCTCTGATAGTCCTTCAACGAACCCCAAACTTATAATTTGTAAAAATCTCATCGTTTAGCTACAATACTCCGTGTCGTATGTGGTGAACAACCCTGTATTTTATATGAAATTTTTATTTTCAAATTTTCTTTCGTATTATGACGTTTAAAATTAACATAGCTAATTAATCATGGAGAATTAATTGAAATTAATTAAGGACGTAATTTAAAAAATCAAGAGAATTTCATCTCTCGTTTTTACATAAATTATACATACCATACAAATATTTAGAGAAATATTAATAAAAATTTTTTTAGTGTATTAGAATCCTCTCTCATTCATATTAAACTCTTAATCAAAGACAATTTTTCAAATAATATGGCATTACATCCTTGTGTGATAAACACTTGTTTGTGTAAATTGAAATACATATTTTTATTTCAGCTTACCCTATGCAAAACTGTTTTCAAATCGAGATAAAAATATTATAAACAAAATTAAAAAACTACAAAAATATAACTTCTTGTTTTTCAAAGCTAATAAAAAATATAGAACATCTAGAAAAAGAATGTCATTTGTCAATGCTTTTAACAAAGTTCCAATAAAAAATTCTTACAACATTTTATAATTAACGTAAAACTAAGATCTTTGAATTCCGCTGAAAATCAAACCTTCATAAATTATGTCAATATTCTTCTAAATGTTCTATTCAAGCCTCCACACAACACCACTTATAATCCATCAAGACCAACACCCACTCTCCCTACCTGTACGCAGCGAACTCCATCTCATGGTGAGGATATCGCACCACGCGTGGCATACCTCACCCTACGAACACCACACGACCACTGATCACCTACCGCCGCAACCGGCTCACATCTCAAACTGAGCCCCGGCCCCACCAAGCCTCCTCATTTCAAGCTCCCAATTGACGCCGGCTGCCGTCTCCCACCACCGGCTAGAGGCAGCGCCGCGATTGGCCGGGAATAGAGCCGGGCGCTCTATTGGCACGAGCCGCGCGGGTGTAACGGACTTCGGCCAAGACGATTTGGGCGTCGGATTTTGGAGGCGGAGGAGGTGGATAGAGCTCGGCGCTCGGGTTTTGTTTTGGCGAGCGTTTTTGAGGGAGGCAAAGTAATTTGGGAAGGTTTAGAGGGCTGGAGATGAGGTACAACAAGTTGTTTTTTGTGTAAATAGGAGAGATTTGAGGAAATTTAACTCATCTAAGACCAGCAATTCTTTATTATACAGGGTGTCAGAATCGGACCTATGTTGATATGAAAAATAAATCTTATTTTTACGTGAGGAAGTTTGATATGACATTACAACTTTATCACCGACCCTGTATACTTAAATTTACTAGTAGCTAATAGGAATTTAAAAGCCCATTACAACAGTATCACAGTTTCGGCAGAATGCCATCATTAAATCAAACCAAACACATCGAAATTAATTATACCGAATTGTTTAAGTGATATTAAAAAGTCAATAACTCGGAAACGGTTGGTTTGAAGTACATTGTGTGTATTTCGGTTTTTGCTTAGAATTGAAGGAAGAATTGAAATATGTAATAATATACAGGGGGTTCTATTTAAAAAAATGAAACTTTGATGTGCCACAACTTTATGACCGACCCTGTATATTTAAATTTATTACCCGCTAATAGATATTTACAAACCCTATAACTTTTATATTTAACTTTTTGCTGTACCTCCTATATTTTACCTAATAATCGACCGTTTCCATACATAACAGCGACCCTGTATAGTCTTTCCAACGCCTGAAGGAAGATTTCAACAGACGACATCCAAAAAATTACTTCGTTCGCGTTGAATTAATCATTTGTAATGGTGATGTTTAAGCAAAGCAAGAATTTCCATTAACATATAAACTGGATAAAATTTTCTCACATTTATGTCAGCATGAGAAAAAACAATATGGCGATATTATTATATAACTTGGTAATATTTGAGGGGTAGTTTCATCTCGTTGGAATTTGACTTTCGAAAAATCCGTTTGCCAAAAATAAGCTTTTTATGTCAAGCAGTTTAAGCAGAATCGTGGTTAGGAAATTACCCAACTTTTTGAAACACCCTGTATGATTTTTTAAAAAATGTTTAAATATGTAAAAAAACTAAATAAATTATGCTTGTCCAAGCGTTTTCCCGAAAGACTAACCGTTTTTTAAATAACAAATATTGTAATATTTGAGGGGCGTTTTCACCCTCTTGGAATTTGAGATTCGAGAAACCCCTCCTTATCGAACCTCTACACCCCACAGTCAATCCGTTTGCCAAAAATCAGCTTTAAACGTCAAGCAGTTTAAGGAGAATCGTGATTACTCAATGATCATATTTTATGAAACACCCTGTATAAATTTATAAAAAATCTTAAAATATGTAAAACAACAAAATAAAATATACGTGTTTAGGAGTTTTTCCGAAAAACTTACCGGTTTTTAAATTAAAAATATTTTAATATTTGAGGGATTAGAAGTTAGAATTCGAGTTTCGAAAAATCCCTTTTTATCGAACCTCTACACCCTAAAGTCAATCTGTTTTCCAAAAATCAGCTTTTACGTCAAGCGCTTTAAGCAGGATCGTGATTAATCAATGACCAGATTTTTCGAAACACCCTGTATACATTTTTAAAAAATCTTAAAATATGTAACAAATGTGTTTACGCGTTTTTTCGGAAACTTGACCGTCTTTTAAATAAAAAATATTGTAATATTTGAGGGGTGGTTTCACCCTCTTGGAACTGGAATTTCGAAAAATCTCTTCTTAACGAACCTCTACACCCTAGAATCAACCTGTATGCCAAAATTGAGCTTCTTACGTTGAGTGGTTTGAGCAGGATCGTGATTAATCAGTAAATCAGTCACTTAAGGATTTGATATATTAGTATAGATAATAATAAATAAAATTATAATAATAAGAATCTATTGCAACCGTAGTAAAAAGACGGTGGAATAAATAAAAGTAATGTATGTCTTGCCTCTCTAGATAATATAGGTATAAAAGGATGTAAATAAACATTCACATCTAAGAAAAAAACTCCAATAATTAATTTACCTAAGTTCCAGACAGGTAAGTCTCACTGCCGGGTGCATCCCAATCCAGGGGCATAGAAGAGACAGGGGAGCCAAGCCTCGCGTCGGACACCCTTTACCTTTGGCCCTGCGGGCCGACAACAAAGAGGAAAAAAGGGACAGCTGCAACAGAAATTAGGGATGAAGTGGCACAATGCAATCGGGGTGGCTTTCGTGCCGTGGCTTACACGTGCCGCTGCCGGCGGGGCTATTATCTTATTTTTTCCCGTCTTAGTTCCGAATCATTTTTGTTTCTTATTCGAGCTTTTAGGGGAGGGAGATATTTATTGGGGTAGGTGCGCGTACAGTCGTATATATATTAGTCGATTTAAAAGGTTTTCGTACGTTGTCTAACACCCAATTTCCAGCCTGTTCTATTCGTACAATCCTCTGTTGATAGGTCTCTTTCACTTATCGCTTTGTGTAGGCTTTTTTGCCATTCCAGTTTCGGTCTTCTCTGTTTTCTTCTGCCCTTTGGTTGCCAATTGATTATTTCCTTGGGTCCTCTTGTATTCTTCATTCGATCTATATACATGTCCGTACCAGATCAGCTGCTTTCTACATCCTGTGTTATAGTGCCATCTATACCCATTTGTTTTTTTATGGTATTATTTCTTATTCGTTGTTGTCTGGAAATACCCATTGATCTTCGAATGGCATGACTCTTCTACGGCCTTTATCCTCTTCTTGTACTTCTCAGTTATTCTCCATGTTTCTGCTCCATACAGAAGTATGCTCTTTATCATGGTTTCATATATATTGAATTTTCTTCGCTTTGTTATTGATTTGCTCCATAAGATTCCATTTAGACATCCGATTATTTTTTTTGCGTTGATGTATATTCTCTATTTCTCTGCCAGTGTTATCCGTTTCAGTTCCAGTGTTATCAAATGTAATTCCCAGGTATTCATACTCTTGACACTGAGTAATTTCTTGACCGTTGTCCAAGTTCAAATTTCCTTCTTGTGCGCCTATACATAGACATTTTGTTTTGTCTATGTTAACTGTCAAGCCCCATTTCGTATTCTTCAATAAGTTTTCTCAGCATATATTGCATATATCATCTATGTCATTGGCGACTATTATTTGATCGTCTCCGAATTGAAGTGTGAACAAACATTCATTGTCAATCTCTATGCCCATACCACCGATCTTTCTTTTCCAGTACAGTCGTATTAGAGCTAACAAAATATGTCTTTTTGGAAAAAAACTGCAATTATATTATATTAAGTATAAGAATCGAAATCGGGAAGACTTGGATATCTTCAAATATCTTCGGAATTAATCGGATTTTTGCGTTGTAAAGATTCAGCATTGCGCAACTTTTTTCTTATTGAATCATCTTTGTATCCTTGTTATACAGGATGGTCCGAACTGTATTCCGGAAACTTTGGCAGCATATTCCGGAGATAAAAATAAGTAAAAGAGTTTGTATACCTAAACGTATGTTCTAAAATGCTTAGTTCGGGAGATACAGGGTGTAGAAGTTTCATTTTTATTTCGATTTTTACCAAATAAAGAATAATACCTGAACTAACGTCAATAATTAGATGAAAATTAGTGTCTGGGAGTTTTTTGACATAAGAAAATTGATTATAAGGTCAATATGACTCCTACTTGTAGAGGGCGCCACCTATATATTTTTAACTGCTTGAAGAGTAATAATTTTCGTCCGTATTTGTATAAAACAACTGAGCAAAAATATACATTAACCTGCGACATTTTTTGCGAAAAAACAGTCTCTTAGTAAAAATCGCTACAAGTAGTGGTCCTCGAGATATTTGGAATCGAAATAATCAATACCTATCATCATTGGCATAAATTACAGGTTGACTAAACAGTTATCAGACTGAAATAAAAAATTTGAAATGTTTTTGTGCCAAAAGTTCAACAGAAACTGTTTTATCAAAAGTTTTTCAAAGAAAAATTTATGATTAATTTAAAAAAATAAAAATTTCCCAAATTTTTCATTTCAGTCAAATAGCTGCTATCTACTCAACAAATGTTTATTTTATTTTTTTGTCAATAATGGCATTTATTGACCACTTCCATTCTAAATATCTTGAGAACGGTTGCTCGTAGCGATTTTTACCAAAAGACATTTTTTACGTAAAAAATCACGGAAATGTATATTTTTTGACTCAGTAGATTTATAGAGGTACAGACGAAAAGTTATTAATCTTCAAAACAGTTAAAACACATGTAGATGGCGCCCCCTACAATTAGGAGTCATGTTGAAATCAAAATCAAATTTCTCATGTCAAAAAACTACCAGATACCAATTTTCATCCAAATATTGAAGTTACCTCAGAAATTATTTAGAAAAAATCGCAATAAAAATGAAAATTCTACACCTTGTATCTCCAAAACTAAGCATTTTAGGACATACATTTATAGGAACTTTTTTACCTATTTTTATCTGCAGAATGTGCTGCCAAAGTTTTTGGAATACAGTTCTGACCACCCTGTATAGAACACTGTGTATATTGTAACTACATGCCTTTCAACATTTCTAGGCCAAGAAGGTAATGAAAAAACAAACGATCTAGACGACAATCGTTCGTGCCATAAACTTCGGTACAACTGATATTGGAGATGGAGAATTATACCCTCTATAAAACCGTCTCAGATTCTGGCTTTTACCAAAGCCCTGGGACTGATATGATGAGTTATAACTCAAAAGGAGGACAAAATAGAGCTATAAAGATCTATAAGGTCGCGGTGATTAACTTCGCCCATTTCATGCAATCTACATTGCAGTCTACAAAAT